GACCGGCTCTATAAAGGCCCAACATTGCACGGACAAATAATTGCTGAGGGAGTGTCCACCATCCATTCAGTCACCAGTTATTGCCATCCCATCCTGCCTATTGGAGGCGGGGTCACGGGAGGAAGGAGGAAGTGCGAGAGGAAGGAGAAAGCGCTTCCTTGAATATAAACCCAAACAAACTAAGGCTTTTAGAGATTTCATGTTACCCCTCGGCAACAAAAAGTTGTGAGCAGGCTGGTTCTGTTGGTGCATACCCTTGATCTCAGTAGCTAGGGCTGGACAGCAAGACCTGGGGCGGGGGTGGGGTATGGTTGTGGGTGTGTGTGGGTGTATAAGAATGGTGATGGATGGGAAATTGGGGGCAGTAGTGGGGGGGCAGGGGAATGGGGGAAGTAGAGAGGGAGACATGAACTCAAAAAAATAAATTACATTACTGATATAGTAATGTAGAAATGATATGTATGAGTCACAATGGTGAGTACAAGATCCGATTCCCAAGAAGAGCATGTCTTAATTTTATTCTACTAACATACGATTCTACACAATTTTACTTTGTAGACCTCAACTCAGAGATCTGCCTGCCTCTGCCTCCCAAGTGTTGGGATTGAAAGTGTGGACCACCACATCTAGCATATAGCATTTTCAATTTATGTGACTATACACATAAGTTATGTGTATCTGTGTGTATGTACACACATATTCGGATGCTCACAGAGGGCAAAAGAAGGTGTTGGATCTCCTGGAACTGGAGTTAGAAATCGTTGTGAGCTGCCCAAAGTGGATGCTTAGACTCAAACTTAGGAGGCTGGAGAGATGGCTCAGTGGTGAAGAGGACTGGTTGCTTTCCCAGTAGGTCCTGAGTTCAATTCCCAGCACCCATGTGGCAGATCACAACTGTCTGTAGCTCCTGTTCCAGGGGGATCTAACATCGTCACACAGACATACACTCAGTCAAATCACCAATGTACATACAATAAAGTAAAAAAAAAAAGAGAAAGAACTAAACTTAGTAAAGAAAAAGAAAAAAAAGAAAAAAGGAAAAAGAAGAAAAAAAGAAAAAAGAAGAAAAAAAAAAGGAAAAAAAAAACTAAACTTAGGCCCTCTGAAGGGCAGCAAGTGTTCTTAACTGTTGAGCCATCTCTCCAGCCCTGACTACTTATCAACAGGGTCCCTGGCTGTCCTGGAACTCATTACAGTAAACTTGAACTCACAGAGATCCCCGTGTCTCTGTGTCTCCAGTGCTAGGATTAAAGGTATGTACCTCTATGTTCACTATTTTCATTATAGTTTTATTTTTATCTATTTTAATTAATTAATTTATTTATTTTTACTATTTTTTAGCCTTATTTTTATGTATGTGAGTATACTGTTGCTCTCCTCAGACACACCAGAAGAGGGCATCAGATCCCACTACAGATGGTTGTGAGCCACCACGTGGTTGCTGAGAATTGAACTCAGGATCTCTGGAAGAGACTGCACCATCTCTCCAGCCCATATTTTTATTTTTAAATTTGATTATTTATTTGGAAGGTGAATGCAGGAGAATCAGTAGTTCAAAGCTAGCCCTGGGCTACATTTGTAAGTTTGAGGCCTAAAATACAAACCACAAACATGTGTGTGTGTGTGTGTGTGTGTGTGTGTGTATTTATGGTACTTGAGACTGAGTTCAGGATGCTATATTTTCGTAGTAAGCTCTCTATCACTTGGCAACACCCTAATCTCTTCTTTCTTTGTTTGCTTTTGAGACATGGTTGCCCAGGCTGTCCTCAAGTTTGTGATCCTACCTACTTCAGCCTCTTGACTGCTGGCAGTGGTGGTATGGGCTGCAACGTTGGACAATGAGTAATTTGGAGGGTATTCACTAGCTGACTTGTGGTAATGAAGTTACAGCAAAACCCTTTAAACATTTTATGCTCAATGAGGCTCAACCTCAATAAGGCCATTCTCTTTAAAAAATAATCTGGGGAAAAGGAGGTTGGTGGGTTGGAGCTCTTGCTCAGGACATTGGGTGGTTTGATTTGAGTGTTTTTTTTTTGCAATCCTTTGTTTTTTGTTGAGACGGGATCTCTCTACATAGCCTTGGCTGTCCTGGAACTCACTATGTAAACTACTCTTGAACACTCACAGAAGTTTGTTGGTCTCTACCTCTGGAATGCTGGGATTAAAGTTGTGTATCTCTGCTGCATTTCTGGTTGCTAGGATGCGCTATACTCTCTGTACTAGAGCGTGTTAATTCTCTAGTCTCTGAGTCCTCACCTATGAATTTCCCCTTCCCCTCTACTTTCGGGCTCAGGGTCCTGGTATTTCCAATGCAGCTGGACCTCCTGTCTCTGCTTCAGTTTGCTGGACTCTCTCATTCAAAGTGTTTTTTTCTCCCTTTTTAGGTATAGTGAAAGTAAGATTTATTTCAGTCTTTCCTATTTATTTCTGCAGAGAAATGTCTGTCCCCTCTTTAAGTTTCTCTGGTATTTATAATCTAAACTGCCCTTTCAACACCTATTTATTGCCTTGGGTTATTTCCTTTTCATGTGTGTCTTCTCAACAGAGTGTGAATTTCCCTAGGGTAGGAATTAGGTCACATTTATCTGTGTCTCCCCAGGCACTTAATAAAACACCTCACTTCCATAGTCTTTCCAAGGCACTCTCTTAGCCGTTAGCTCATTTGATCCGTACACCAATGCTAAGAGATTGGAGTAACAAGAAATATGTTGTTCCCCACCTCTGACAGGAAGGAGAGCTGTAGCCCACGGTCTCATGGCTTGAAAGGGACAAAGAGGGAAGAGATAATTGCACAGGGAGCTCTGTCCAATGGGAGGTGTCCACGCTATCTTCCTGATCTTCCTCTGGAAGGCAGCCTTCTGTACCTTCACCGCTGAGGGCCTGTGTGCTTTCCAGCCACTCAGCCAGAGCTTTGCAGTTCAGTGTTTAAGAACTTGAAGACTTGGGAGATGAAATTTCAGTAAATCTCTGATCAGCTGAAAATCACCAAAGCATGCTTGCTATTTTGTTCTGAGCAGTGTTCGTGCGTAGGCCTGGCATTTAATGAGGCTGCATTGCAGAACTGAGGAAGCATAAGTGATTTTTAAAAGCTTTGGAGAGTGACTGCACTCTAGCATTAAACACGGGACCTGGCAGCTGGTGCTCTGACCAAGGGCATAAAAGCTTTCTGCCCTAGATCATTCCTCTGCGTATACTAGTGGAAGACCCCCCTTCTCTCTCTCTTTCTCTCTAAGATGGATCTTTCTACACAACCCTGGTCCTCCTGGAACTCTCTGTGTAGATCAGGCTGTCCTCAAAATAAAAGATCTGCTTACCTCTACCTCCCGATCACTGGGGTTAGAGGCATGAGCCACTACGACTGGCCCTAACCTTCCTAATGCTTCGACCCTTTAATACAGATTCTCATGTTGTGGTGACCTCTCCCTCAACCATATTCCTGTTGCTACTTCATTAACTGTAACTTTGCTATTATGAATTGTAAATATCTGTGTTCTCCAATGGTCTTAGGTGACCCCTGTGAAAAGGTTGTTCAACCAATCAAAGGGGTCTCCACCACAGGTTGATAACCACTGTTCTAATTAAAAGCTAAACAGCTCCATTTCCTAGCACACTTTTGCTCTATCTTATCATCCTATCTCTGATGCAAGAGATCTAATCATCGGGCTAGGGAGATGGCTCAAACATCGCTCTCCAAGAAAACCTGGGTTGGATTTTCAGCATCTATATGGTGGTAATTGTAACCAATTCCAGAGGATCTCACAGAACCAAGGATACAAGTGGTACACAGACATACGTGCTAGCCAAACAACCACGCACATAAACAGTAAAATAAATAAAAATGTAAAAAGAGATCTAACCTTGAAGGAGTTTATTTCATATAAAACTTTTATTTTTTCAGATGGGCAACTTTAGCATAGTGCCCAGGCCTAGCTTTGAACTCTAGATCTTCCTAACTCAACCTCCAGAGTAGACAGGATGAAGGATGAATATAGTACAGGACGAAGTACCCATCTTATTTTCTAAAAGAAATCACCTCCTAATTGGGTACCCTTAGTTTTACAAACCAGTGTAGGAGTGAAGGATGAGAAATGAGTAGGGGGGGTGGGGCAGGGCAGTTAACATGGCTCAATGGCGCCAAGCCTATGACGGTTCACTCTCAGAACCTGGAGCTTGGAAGAACTGATTCCCACTATGTCTTCTGACCTCCACAGAACATGTAGGACACACAGTAAATAAAACGTGATTAAAAAAAATAATAATAAAGGGAGAGCGGAGGAGGCTAAGTTAAGAAATTCAAGAGTTGCCGGGCGGTGGTGGCGCACACCTTTAATCCCAGCACTTGGGAGGCAGAGGCAGGCGGATTTCTGAGTTCGAGGCCAGCCTGGTCTACAGAGTGAGTTCCAGGACAGCCAGGACTACACAGAGAAACCTTGTCTCGAAAAAAAAAAAAGAAAGAAAGAAATTCAAGAGTTGAGGCTGGGGCGACGGCTCAGTGGGTGACTTCTCTTACATAGGACTTGAGTTCAAGTCCCAGAACCCAAAATCCACCCCAAAATCCGGCAGCTCACAAGCACCTGTAACATCGGCTCAAAGGGCTCTGGCTCCCTCTTCTGGCCTCCGTGGATACAGCCCACATAAGGCGCATGCGCTCGCCGACATCTACAAATAAAAACCAGTCCGGGTGCCGTGGCGTGAACTTTTTGGTGGAGGCAGAGACAGGAAGATCTCTGATACCAACAACACATTGGCTCGACCTTCGAGCACCACAGTGGCAGGCCTAAGCTTCTGGGCTGGGCTGTCACCTCTATATATCCTTCGTCTTTCTTACGTTAAATGAGCGAAGTTCCGACTTTAGGCTCGGAGCGGCTACCGCGACCGTTGCGCCGAGCGCGGGCTCCCGGGGCGGGGCTGCGCCAGGCGGGAACGGAGGCCCCGCCCCGTCCCGCGCCGGACTGATTTAAGACCAGTTGTGTTTCCGCTGGCCCGGAGCGCCCATCCTGGGCAGGCCCCGGCCTCATAGCTCCGGCGGCGAGCTGTGCAGGTTAGCGCTCGATGACCGCGAGCCTGCACCGAGGCCGCGCTCGCCCTTAGGACTCCTTGGCGCCCAGACGGTAGGTCGGCGCCGGAGAGCGCGTTCTGCATCTTGATTATCTCCGGCCTTGTAAGGTTCACCTCTTATGAAAACAGAACTATCAATCTGCGTCGTGCAGGGACGGCTGGAGGGCTCGAAGCACGCCTGCGTCAGAGCTCGGCACTCGGCGCTCCTGCGCGTGTGACCCCGGCTGCCTGCGCGGGGTGGGGATGTAGCCTGAGGTCACGTCCTGTGGTCGCAGAAGGCGGGCGGCTCCGCTGAGACCCTTGAGCGGTTGAAACCCTCGTGGCTGGGTGCCTAACTGGCCTGCAAAACTTTATTTGTAGGTATAGTTCAACAACATTTTGAATTGGTAAAACAGAACTTATTGGTAAAACTTAACCAAATAGCTTTTGTTGACAAGTTGATTGTTATTAATTTTTGATGTTTCATGCAAGGCAAGAATCGTTATCGCGGTTTTGCAGGTGGAACAGTGTTGGCACCAGAAAAGCGAGCGTTTCACTTAAACCCACACGGAAAACATTGGGGTGGCAGAGTCACAAATTAATGCCTAGCATTGCGCCTCCTCAGCTGATTCCTCTAGACCACCTTACAAATCAAACGGCTAGTTGCTTTCATGTGACTCATAAAAGGAGCGAATAAACCAATGTTCTGTGGACATGAAGCGTTAAGTCCTAATAAGCTTCAGACTAGGGGCTGCTTCAGGCTCAGCTGCCATTTGGAGGAGAGGGGAAAGCAATAAATGGGAAAGAATGAGCGGGCGATGTTTGTGTTCCTGTTGAGTTTCTTCTCATTGCTGTCTGTTGATGACATTCTTTTTAAGGTGCTCCAGGTTCTGGCAAAACACCCATAGCTATGTCCTCACACTAACCACTCTGCAGTGCATTGTGGTATGGCCTCTCCTCTAGGAACGTCGTTAATGGAAAAGCTGGTGTAGTTCAAGTGTCTTTCACTCTTGCTCCCAGACAAACAGTTCTTCCATGAGATGACGCTGTCAGAGAATCACCAGAAAACCAGTGTGATATTCCATAGCTGAGCTATCACTGGGCAAAAGGCACACTTGGACCCTCACCCCCACCCCCACCCCTCAGGTTACTGGGAACATGAGAACAACAGTTTGTAGTTCAAGCACAATGGTAGTGGTAGGAAGACACCTTCCTTTAGACCTTAGTGGATTTGGGTGGGTAGGGGTGAAGCTAGGAGAGTCATCTTTTGGACAGCTTGGGAGTCATTTTGTTCTTGGAATGTAAAGTAGTCTGATATTTATTTGTACGTTTGTCCATAAAATGGTAAAGAATTTGGGGATCCTGATGTCTGATACAGGCCTGCTCTATAAGAAACATCTCTGAGGCAGATGTTATGTCATGAACTTTTTTTTTTGTTTTTTTATTTTTCGAGACAGGGTTTCTCTGTGTAGTCCTGGCCGTCCTGGAACTTACTCTGTAGACCAGGCTGTCCTCGAACTCAGAAATCCGCCTGCCTCTGCCTCCCAAGTGCTGGGATTAAAGACGTGCGTCACCACTGCCGGCGGCATGAACTTTTTTAATCCTAGCACCCAGGAAGAAGAGGGTCAAGGTTCAAGACTTGCCTCAGGGGCACAGAGTTCGAGCCCAGGCTGGGCTTGTGAGACTGCCTATGGTAGCTTTAGCTGGAGCAGTCAGGGGTTTGTTCAACTTGGATTTTCTCCCATTTGTTTCCATACAGATACCAAGAAAACCAGATGGCATCCGGAGATTTCTGCTCACCTGGAGAAGGCGTGGAGATACTACAGCAAGGTAAGGGGTGTGTCCTAGTCAGGGTCTCAGTGCTGTGAAGAGACACAGTGACCATGGTAACTCTTATAAAGGAAAACATTTAACTAGGGCTGGCTTAATTTCTGAGGTTCAGTCCATCATCATCATGGTGGGAACCATGGCAGCATGCAGGCAGACATGGAGCTGGAGTTGCTGAGAGTTCTACATCTTGATCTACAGGCAGCAGAAGGAGACTGTGTCTCACCTTGGGCATAGCTTGAGTATATATAAGACCTCAAAGTCTGCCTCCACAGTGACAGGCTTCCACAAGGCCGCACCTCCTGATGGTGCGGCTCCCTGTGGCTCTGCATTCAAACCCATGAGTCAATAGAGGCCATCCTATTCATCCCCCACCCGCACATGGCCTGACGACTCTTCCAGGGGTCTCATCTAGACCCTTGCTCCTGAGATGAAGAAGGTTCACAAGGCCCACTAGAACGGTTTCACTCACAGCCCCCGCTTCTGAGGAGAGTAGAGAGTCTAGGAGGTTCTGGGGCATTTTACTAAGCAGCAGGTTGGACCAGCTGCTCGTGCTGACTCAGTGCCTGTTTCTGCAGTAGCTGCTGCATGCCATGGTGCATTGGCAATCTGTTGCTAAGGGAAGGGTGGCTGGCCTGTCCCTTAAAGGCTTCTTTCCTACTTGTGTTTTCATGTTTCTCTGGTAGCCCAGGCTGGCCTTAAACTTCTGATTCTCCTGCCTCCACCTCACAGTTTGGAGATTATAAGTATGCCTTACCACACCCAATTTTGTGCCTGAAAACGAAAATAAAAGATTTATTTTTTATTCTCTAAAATGACTTTGAACATAATAATAATACTCCAAAGAATAAACGTGTTTGCGTGCGTGTGTGTGCGTGAGTGCGCATGAGTGTGCGTGTGTGTGTGTGTGTGCGTGTGCATGTGCGTGTGCGCGTGTGCGTGCGTGTGTATGTTAGAGAATGGTAAAAGATGTCAGCAGAGCCCCCTCGGAGAGAGATGGAGTAACCAAAGGACACCGACCTCTCCGTGTCCTCTTATACCTATGCGGCCTACAAGGGTCACTGGGCTCTGTTTACAGGGTCAGTTAATCTCTTGCTTCTCCTTTCTCAGCCTTGCTTGTGTGAATGAGTGAGGCCGTCTCCACAGTTGGAACTTGCATGTCTGTTTCCCCTCTTCCTCAAGAACTCTAATGATATTGGCCAGGCTTTGTGTTGCATGCCTGTAATCCCAGCGCTTAGGTGGCTGAGGCAGGAGGATGACAAATTCAAAGCCAGCCTACATAGAAAAACTTTAAAAAAGCAAAGTTTCTAGTAAGCATATGAATGAAGTATTTTGGTTACTGTGGTGATCCATACTAAAAGGTCTCTCTTTTTTTTTTTCTCTTGGAGCTTGGGAGCCAACCAAGTCCACAGCAAGCACATGCTCTACCACTGACCCACACCCCTACTCCTTACATTTCTATTTACCAAGATTTTAACTTTGGAGCTAGGCTGTATGTAGCACACGGGAAAGCCCTTGCTTGGCGTGCCCAAGTCCCTGGCAACACACACCATCATTAGTTACTCCCTCGTATCCTTTGGTTAAGGTCTTCATATACAAAGTAAATGCTTGCTAATTTGAGGGTCATTTCTGGTTTATTTGTGATTTAGGTTTTGAGGCAGGGTCTCACAATGTAACCTAGGCCCCTTTGCAGATCATGTAGCCCAAGCTGGCCTCGAACTCCCAACTCTTGTGCTTCCTTCTCCCTAACACTGAGATTCCAAGTGTGTGCCACCACATCCAAATACTTGTTCTATTTATTTGCTTTTCTTTGTTTGTTTATGTGAGCACTGGAGTGTAGGGATCAGGAGACATTTTGAGGAGTTGGTGCTCTCAGGCTGCCCTGTGCTTTCTGGGAAGCAGACCCTGGTCATTAGGTTTGGCTGCACGTATCCTTACCAGCTGAGCCGTCTAAACAGCCAGCAACTATTTATTTTTGGCAACATCTCACTATGTTGTCAGGCTGATGTCAGAGTCTTGTGTTTAAAGGACCCTCCTACCTTGGTCTCCCGAGGAGCAGGGATTACAGGTGTGGGTCATGTGGGTCATCGTTCCTGGCTTCCCTTATTCTTCTGTTTAAATTGCATTATATTTAGAGAATTTTCCTACTGAAAAACAGGGTTTTGTTTTGTGTTTTTAGAAATAAGCAAAGTTATGCCCAGTTATATAAAGCAAGGAGTCCATGTGTTTGCTTTGTCTGTCATTTTTAGTGTGTGACAAGCAGTTTCCTCCATGTGCCCTGACAGAGGAGGATCTCATAAAGAATCCATATTTCAGCAAGCTCTTGCTCAGTCTGTCCCAGCACGTGGATGAGAGTGGCCTAAGCCTCGCGCTGGCCAAGGAGCAGGCTCAGGTAAGGCCCCTGGGAGGAAGGATGGCAGGAAGAGGGAAAGTCTTAGAGAAAGACGGTCTTAGACGGGTTCTGTTTTGTTTTGAGGCGTGGAGTGAAGTTCGGCTTCGTAAGACAGAATGGCTGAGGTATGAGATCTTACAGAGAGTTATCCAAGAGCTGCTCGTGGACTACTACGTAAAGGCCAAAGACACAAACCTAACCTCCAAAGACAAAAAGGTGAGGCCGGAGAAACAAGGTAGGCATTAGGTCCAGGGATGAGAACAACTTGGCTAGCCGGTTATGGCAGCATATGATCGTTACCCAGGGCTTGTGTGGCTGTGGAAAGAGCTAGAATGTAGAAATTTGGGGCTAACCTGGGCAACACAGTGAGCCCCTGTAGGAAGAGGGAAAAGGAGAGAGGGAAGGAGGAAAGAAATGAAGACTGGACAGGGGGAGAGGGAGGTAGAGGGAACCCTAGTAATTCAGCTCACTGAATTCAGTTCTCTGCGGTGGCTATTGACTCGAGGACCATGAAGTGTGTGAGAAGAGATGATCGGGATGGAAGACTCGGGGATGGAGTTCTCCTTTGTTCTTTTGAGAGGGTATAGCCCTGGCTGGCCTGGAACTGGCTTTGTAGACCAGGCTATCCTCAACCTCACAAAGATCTGCCTGCCTCTGCCTCCTGATTACTGAGATTAAAGGCCAAGTTGAAAGTTTTTTTGTTTGTTTGTTTTTATTTCAAGACAGAGTTTCTCTGTGTGGCTGCCCTGGAACTCGCTTTGTAGACCAGGCTGGCCTGGAACTCACAGAGATCCCCCTGCCTCTGAATCTCAAGTGCTATGTGACACCACTTTCTGGTTAAGTCAAAAGTCTTATAGTTTTGTTTTTTTTTTTTCTTGCTTTGTTTTTATTTTCAGTTTCATGAGACCCTTGAACAACGGCTGCTTGTAACTGAGCTGACACAACTCTCAGGTCCTGGGCAGGAGACGGAGAGGCCCCCACTGCTAGGGCTGGAGAAGGCTGACCTTCTGGAGCTCATGCCACCCTCGCAGGTGGGAAATAGATACTGGGTCAAATGTGTTAAGTTCTTGTGTAGTAAGTATCTGTCTGTCTGTCTCTCTTCTCTTTTATTTCTTTTTTCTTTCTTTCTTTCTTTCTTTTTTTTTTTTTTTTTTGGTTTTTCGAGACAGGGTTTCTCTGTATAGCCCTGGCTGTCCTGGAACTCATTCTGTAGACCAGGATGGCCTCGAACTCAGAAATCCACCTGCCTCTGCTTCCCAAGTGCTGAGATTAAAGGTGTGCGCCACCACCGCCCGGCTCTCTTTTCTTTTTTGTTAGGACCTCATTTATTTATTTCAGGCTGGCTTTGAACTTTGGATCCTCCTTGCCTACACCTCCCAAGTGCTGGGATTACAAGTGTGCACAACCATGCTTGATTTATGAGGTGCTAGGGGATCAAACCCAAGGCTTCTGTGAGCTAACATTTCTTCTGTTTTTTCCTTTTTAAAAAAATTATCATCATCATCATCATCATCATCATCATCAGTTTATGTGTGTTTTGCCTAATTGTCTATGCACTTCATGTGTGGAGTGCACGTAGAAACCAGAAGAGGGCATCCGATTTCCTGGAACTGGAGTTCCATGTAGGTGCCAGACTTGAATGAGGGTTCTCCGGAAGAGCAGCTAGTGCTCTTAACTGCTGAGCCATCTCTCCACCCCCTAAAATTTTCTTATTAAGCTTTACTGTTTTTCTGAAAATGCTACATATCATATGGTCAGACTCAAGGAAGACATTACACAGAAGACAAGAAGGTCTGAAATACTACGTCTAGAATTGCATTTCATCTTGTTTGAAACAAGAGTATGTGGTAACCATGTCTTAGTTAGGGTTTCCATTGCTGTGAAGAGACACTATGACCAAGGCAACTCTTATAAAGGACAATATTTAATTGGGGCTGGCTTACAGGTTCAGAGGTTCAGTCCATTATCATCAAGGCTGAAAACATGGCAACATCCAGGCAGGTATGGTGCTAGAGGAACTGAGAGTTCTACATTTTGTTCTGAAGACAACCAGAAAACTGGTGTCCTCAGGCAGCTACGAGGAGGGTCTTAAAGCCCACCCCCATAGTGGGCTACACCTAACAAAGGCCACACCCTGGGCCAAGCATATACAAACCACCACAGACGGGGTAAGCTGGGTACTGCATCACTGCCCTCTTTAGGTTAGCTGGTGTTCCTTCATGGAGTCCACATCTGAGTCTGTGACAGACAATTTTAGATGATTTGCCCAGCCCCTGTAGTGTTTCTGTCAGCTGGCGTGCCCCACTTACTTGAGGTAGTCCTGTTGCACCAGGCTGACTTGTAAAGGTGACAAGCCTCAGCTACCATGGCCACACAATGTGCGTCTCTCTGAGATACTTCCAAGCAGGGACAAAGTCCCCACTGTCCTCTTGCTCTGCCTCTCAGCCGGAGACTGAAAGTGAAACGCAATGTTATAAACAATGCCAATGGTATTCTACTCTCTGCTGTCTCAGTTTTTAAATATATGTGAATGTTTTGCCTGTGTGTATGTCTGTGCACCGCATACCTGCAGAGGCTAGACAAAGGGGCTGGATGCCCTGGAACAAGCTACAGCTGTTGTAAAGTTGGACACAAACCTGGGTCCTTTGGAAGAACAGTCAGTGTTCTCAACCACTGAGCCATCTCTGCAGTCTTCCCCCTTTTAAAAACTCTTTTGGGTGACAGGCCTAACTCTGTCCTTGTGGCTGGACGAACTCTCTGTGTAGATCAGGCTGACCTTGAACTCAGAGAGATCCACCTGCCTCTGCCTCCTGAGTGGGCACTGTGAACAAAGACATGCTCGGGCAGCCTTGGCCCATCCCTTTGTTTGTTTGTTTGTTTGTTTGTTTGTTTTAGACAGGGTATCACTGTAGGCCAGACTGGCCTCAAACTCATGACCCACAAGTTCAACATCATCCTTGGCTACTCAGTTAAGGGCAGCTTGGGCTACATGAGACTGCCTTTTAAAAAAACAAAAGGACTCAAATCAGCATAGGTAGTTGAAGAGTAGAGGCTAAGGCTGCAGAGACGCTCAGTCACTATGAGTACAAACACATACTGCTCTTACACAGGACCAACCTGGGGTAGGACATAACTGCTTATAATTCCAGCTCCGGGGTCCACCTACTTCTGGACTCCATGGGCACCTACACTGAGGTGTGAACATTCCCCCAAACAGACATAAACATAAATCTTTTAACAAGAAATCCTAACACTTGGAGGCAGAGGCAGGCAGATCTCTGTAAGTTTGAGGCCAGTCTGGTCTGCATGAGTTCCAGGATAGCCAGGACTATGTAGAAAAACCCTGTCTCAAGCAAACAAACAAAAAACCACCACAAACAACTCCCCCCAAAAAAACAATAATAAATATAAAGAAATAGAAGGATACCTCCATTAGCACTGTGAACAGTGTGTAGGCACTGGGTGACTGATAGCTTTATTGTATCAGCTTAAAGCACTTCCAGGATACGGAGCTAGCCCCGGAGCTAGCCCCGGAGCTAGCCCCGTACCCAGCATGCACAGGGTCCTTGTTTCAATCCCCAGTATGGCAAGGATAAACAACTCCTGGTAGGCTTCCTCTATATGGATATAACATAATTGGCTGGCTTAGTGTTATCAATTTGTGTTTTTGAGACAGGGTCTCATATAGTCTCTGACCTTAAATTCCCTGTCCTGCCTCAGTCTCCCAAATGTTAGGATTAGTGTACCGTCATTCCCGGCTCTCTTGATGCCGTTTCTTTGATTATTTGTGAGGCTGTGTTCTCATACTCGCTGAGAAGGTCTTCCTTGTGCTAATGGTCTGTGTGCCTCTAGGATTTTGTGTGGATGAAGGCTCGGCTCCAGCTGGAGGTGGAGGAACAGCTCAAGAGGAAATGCTTCACTCTGCTGTGCTACCATGACCCCAGTTCAGGTGCGAGCCACTCTGGCCTCCTCAGTGCCCCCAGTTCCCTGGCTAGCCAGCTTTTTCAGTTTGATGTGGGTGTTAAACAGGTCTTACTCTGTATTCTAGACTGTCTAGCCAGGAACTTACTGTGTTACCCAAGTTGGTCTCAAACCTTGGCAATCCTGCCTCAGTCTCCCAAATGTTGGGATTATTGGCATGACCTACCATGCCTAGTTTAGACTACTCTGAGACTTTAGAATCGGAAATGTTTATTTCCTTGGTAGTGGGATTAGAACAGACTTTTGTCAAGATTCCTTTGCTGAATGATCTCTCGCTTCAGGAAAAGATGAATTGTTTCCTCAGAAGGGTCAGAATGGCAAAGAGAGAAGTTCAGCATATCCGTGTCCCTCTTACCTTTATTTTGTGGTTTAAGAATGTAGGACTGCAGGCTGTAGAGGTACTCAGTGGCTAAGAGGCTCCTGCTGTTCCAGAAGACCTGAGTTTGATTTTAGCTCCCTTGTCAGGATGCTCACAAGTGCTTGTAACTCAGTTTCATGAGATCTGGAGCCCTCTTCTGGACTCATGTGTCTACATTGCCATAAACACATAAAAACCATGTACAGAAAGGAATTCAAAGTTTGGGCTGGAGAATTGACTGATTAGTTAAGAGGCTCTTGTAGAAGACATTCCCAGCACCCACACTTCACAACTGCCAGTACCTCCAGTTGTAGGAGGACTGAAAACCTAGCCTCTGCATGCGCTCACATGCACAGATCTTCCCCCCACAATTACATAACTCAGAATAAATCCAAATAAGCTGGATATGATGGCGCATGCCTTTAACCATAACACTCTGGGACACAGAAGCAGATGGACCTCTGAGTTTGAGGCCAAGACTGTTCTGCATATGGAGTTCCAGGCCAGCCAGGCTGCACAGAGAGACCCTTTTTCAACAACAACAACATCATCAATAACAACCAAGCCAAACCGAAGGGTTACCTAGTACTCCGAGGCTTCAGCAGGCATATTCCTTTGAATTCCTTGGACAGCCTGGACCATACAGTGAGAACCTAACTATAAGATGCAGACACTGTTAGAAACGCAGGGGAGAAGCATGACTTGGATGTAGGATGGCAAAGGCCCCTGCAGAGCGGTGTCCATTGGAAGTTTCCCTGACCCTTTCTCTGTGCCTAGATTCTGATGGAGACAAGCTGAAAGCAGCGAAGGTGTGGACACTGACCAAGGTCCTGGTAAGGGAGAAGCAGCAGTGCCTGGAGGCCAAGGGCCAGCAGAAGGAGCAGCTGGTACTTCTGGAGAAGAAGAGGGCCACCTACTCCCAGGTGTGCTGGGTGTGGCCTGCTCCCCTTTATCTGACTCAGGACTCCTTCGGCTAAGGGCGTTCTTCTCTTACACCTTGCTTGTTCTTATCTTGGGGGTTCAGGTGCTTCTCCGCTGCCTCAGTTTGCTGCAGAGGCTTCTTCAGGAGCACCGGCTGAAAACTCAGTCTGAGCTAGACCGCATCAATGCCCAGTACCTGGAGATCAAATGCAACGCTATGATCCTTAAGTTGAGGTGAGCTGTGAGCCTGGTGGATCAAAGGGACTCTCTTCTTCATGCCACTTCTCCAGCCCTGTTCCTCATCACTCTCTTCACCACGCCTAGTACCGGTGTGTCCCAGCAAGTGTCCCACAGTAGTATAGTTAGCCTTTCTTGATGTTACTCTAAAAACTTGTGACACTGTTAAGTATTTATTTATTTTATAGCCTTGTGAAATGGGTGTTTTACTGTAAGGTCAGTTGCTTGGGGATTCACAGTGATTTTTCTCTCTATCCTTGTACCTTGACTGTGGGTTTGTTTGTTTGTTTGTTTGTTTTTTCCCAGCAATAGGGTCTTACTATGTAGTCCTGGCTAACTGGTTGACCTGGACCGGGTGGTGGTGGCGCACGCCTTTAATCCCAGCACTTGGGAGGCAGAGGCAAGCAGATTTCTGAGTTCAGGGCCAGCCTAGTCTACAGAGTGAGTTCCAGGACAGCCCGGGCTATAAAGAGAAACCCTGTCTCGGAAAAAAACAAAAAACGAAAAACAAAAACAAAAACAAAAAAAGAAACTGGTTGACCTGAAACTCATTTTATAGGCCAGGCTAACTTTGAACTGAGAGATCCACCTGTCTCTGTCAATTGAGTGCTGGGGTTAAAGGTGTGTGCCTCTGTAACAGAGTTAGCAGTTCCTTTTTTGAAAGTTCTGTTTTGATTTCTCTTCCTCCTCTCCTTCTTCTTCCTCCTCCTTCTATATCTAGGATTGCATGTATGACCTCTGGTGGCCACAGAGGTAGAAGAGGGTGTCATGGTCTGGAAAGATGGCTCAGAGATTAAGAGCATGAGCTGTTCTTCCAAACAACCCTGGTTCAATTCCCAGCACCCACATGGCAGCTCAATGAAGTCTGTAACTTCAGTTCCAGGGGATCTGATACCTTCACACAGACATACTTGTAGGCAGAACTCCAATGAGTATAAAAATAAATAAATTATAAAGAGAGGGTATTAGATTCCTTAGAACTGGAGTCACAGGCAATTATGAGCTGCCTTGTGGATGCCAGAAGCTGAACCTGTATCTTCTGCAAGAGTGATAAATGCTTTTAACCACTGAGCCATTTTTCCAGCACCCAACTTCTTAGGTATTCCTATTTACTTTGAGAGAGCACTAAGGAGTGCGTTTGTGTGCGTGTGTGGGCATGCGTGTGTGTGTGTGTGTGTGTGTGTGTGCCGCGAGCACGCACATGCTCCACAGTGCATATAGAGGTCAGAGGACAACTCTGTGGATCCAGGTCTCATCTTCTACCTTTATGTGGGTTCCAGGGATTGCACTCAAATCATTAGGCTAGAGCAGCAAGCCCTTTTCCCACTCAGCCATCTTGCCAGCCCCTGAACTCTTCCTTGGTTTGGGATCTTCCATGTTCCATTTCTTTCTCTCTCTGTCAGGATGGAAGAGTTGAAGATCTTGTCTGACACTTATAGCGCTGAGAAAGTGGAAGTCCATCGCCTAATTAGGTAAGAACCCCCAAGAGCTGGACCCAGCTGTTCTTCAGACTTGTTCAGGTCTGTTTTTTGAGGACTTACATCCTTCTATTGAACTTTCTCTGCTGGGGCTCTTAGGGACCGTTTGGAGGGAGCCATTCACCTCCAAGAGCAGGACTTGGAGAAGTCGAGACTGGTCCTGCACACCTATGAGGTCCTGGGTGAAGACTTTGAGAACCTGGTGAAGGAGTACACTCAGCTTAGACTGGCAGCCGAGAACAAACGCTGGGCCCTCCAGGAATTTAGCAAGGCCTACCACTGAGCTGAATGTAGGCAGAACCAGGAAGCATGGATTCTCCGTGGCCACCTTCTCCTCCTGCTCAGTGGACCACCTCCACCACAGACAATGGGGAAGCTTGCTCAACACACTGCAGCCTTCACAACCCCTCTGTTGTCGATTCCTTGTTTGCAATGACTGCGTCTCTTCTGGAAGTGTAGCTATCAGATTTATAAAACTCTGTGGATATCTGTTTTGCATCAGCCCTGTGTAATAATTTCCTGAATAAAGTTGTAGTATTATGCCTTAGAATTTTAGTCATTTTCCTTGGGCAAAACTATAAAAAAAAAATATTGAAGTGTATGTAGGTGTGGTGATTTGAATAAGGCTAGCCCCCTTAGGCCACTACATTTGAATCCTTTGTCATCAGGGAGTGGAACTCTGATAGGATTAGAAGCATCAGGAGGCATAGCCTTGGAAGTACTGGGTCACTGGGACTCTGAAGTTTTAAAAACCCTCCTCAGACCCAGGTTCTGCTTATGGAGCAGGATGTAGCTCTCAGCTACTATCCAGTACCTGCCTGCCACGATGATAATGGATTAACCCTCTGAGTCTAGGCAAGCCCCCAGTTAAATGCTTCTTTTTTTTTTTTTTTTTTTTTAAAGATTTATCCATTTATTTTAAATATATAAGTACACTGTCGCTGTCTTCAGACACACCAGAAGAGGGCATCAGATCCCATTACAGATGGTTGTGAGCCACCATGTGGTTGCTGGGATTTGAACTCAGGACCTCTGGAAGTGCAGTCAGTGCTCTTAACCACTGAGCCATCTCTCCAGCCCCTTAAATGCTTCTTTGAATTGCTGTGGTCATGGTCTCTTCATAGCAGTAGACAGTGACTGAGACAGTGGGTAAGGCAGAAGAGCTCAGTGGGTCCTGAGGCAGATCTGAACTTTACCAGCCAGCCCTGGACTCCTCGAGGCTTCATCCAGGAGAGGGGAAGTGGATTAAATCTGGGCTTGTCTACACACCCCCGAGGAGTGCTGGGTGCTCTGGCTGATTGGAAACCATTTTGTCACTGTGGCTAGCAGTGAAAATGTTATAATAAAGCTGCCAGGCACGCAGCTCGGCTTAGCACACAGCCACTTACATCCCTGTGACATAAGGACCTAATGCCGCTCCCAAAGCAGAGCGGGGTACATTTGACAGCAAAATTCTACAGTCCGCTTAGCTGAGGCGAGGCAGGGTCTGGCCAGTGTCGGCTCAGGAGCAGAATAGGCTTCTCACTCAGAAGCTACTCAACCGTGGTCCAGAGAAACCAGCCAGTGGGAGCCTTCTGAGGTCAAACGAAGGTCGGCTGCATAAGAAGAACTAAGGTCTCTCATTTTACATTAAAACCTTTCTGTAAATGGCACCAACTACTATCTGTATGTAAATGTTGGTCCACAGGAAGCAATTTCCCAAGTTATTTAGAGAAAAGTTTATCTGTAAAAGAAAACTTAAAAATAACGGGATGAATACCAATATATTTTTAATCTATATTCAATATTGACAATACTTTGTTCTTTTTTTCTGTCTCTCCTTTCCTTCTTTCCCTTTAAAACTATTCCTATTATCTTCTATATATGACTGTTTTGCCTGCATGTTTGGATGTATATCATGTGCATACCTGGTGCAAGCAGAGGCCAGAAGAGACTGGAACCCCTGGAACTGGACTTACAGACAGCTGTGAGCAACCATGTAGGTGCTGGGAATTGAACCTAGGTCCTCTGGGAGAGCAGCCAGTGTTCTTTACCACTGATCCATCTGTCTGGCTCCCTTTCTTAAAGAATCCGGTATAAATATATACTGTATGGATAATCTGTGAGGAAGCATCACCTGTCAATTAAAATCTGAGGGAGAACATTTGGGAGAGAGAGGGGAACTCTGGGACAGAGTCAGGTGCAGGAAGATTCGCCATCCACACTCTGAGGAAGTCAGTCGTATGAGACTGAGGAGAGATGACCAACCACGTGGCAGACATAGACTAGTATAAACAGGTTAATATATGTTAAGAGCTAGTTGGGGAGCAAATCTGAGCTAAGGCCCTAAGTCATATATAAATAAGTGTTTGTATCTTTCTTTGAGAGCTAGGGCATGCATAGAAAAGCCAGATTACTTCTACAACATACATTTCCCTGAACCACTTTACAGTAAGTTACAGATTCCAGGAGGCAACTATTAAAACTTAGGGCATTCTTCTGTATAACTAATACAATTATTATTCATAAATGTTAATAATTCTCTAATGACTATTATCCAGGTCATCAAATTTCTTTTCCTGATCTCAGGCCCAATAAAATAAAATGTCTTTTTTTTTTTTTTTTTTTTTTTTTTTGCTTTTCGAGACAGGGTTTCTCTGTGTAGCCCTGGCTGTCCTGGAACTTACTCTGTAGACCAGGCTGGCCTCGAACTCAGAAATCTGCCTGCCTCTGCCTCCCAAGTGTCTTTTTCTTTTTTTAAATAGCATTGATAAGCGGCCAAGGCTGGTTTCAAATTCATGGTCTTTCTACCTCAGGCTCCTGGTGCTGGGTTGTGTGCATGTGCATATTGTTCATATATTTCTTTAATGTAATAAGGTCTTAGCCCAAGGCAACCTTCAATTCAGTCCTCCTGCCTCTGCTCGAATGTGCTGGAATCACAGGTGTGTACTTCCTGGTTGACTTTTTTTTCCTTGTCTTTTTCCTTACATTTTCCTCCCACTCCTCCCCATTGGGGAATGAACTCAAGAATCTTGTGCATGCTATCACTGAGCTACAACTAGCTTTTTAACTGGTTGTGTGTGTGTGTGTGTGTGTTCTTTGGTGGAGGGGGCAGAGGCTTATTTTTATTTTGTTGACTTTATACCTGAGGAGGCCAGAAGAGGGTGTCAGATCCCCTGGAACTTGAGTTACAGATGGGTATGAGCAGCCATGTGAGTGCTGGGAACAGAATCCGGGTCTTTTAGAAGAGCAGCGAGTGCTCTTAACTGCTGAGCCATCACTGTAGCCTCCTTTGTTGTTACTGAGATAAGCCTCATTATGGTCAGGCTGGCCTTGAACTTACAGCAATCCTGCCTTTGCTTCTTTTTGATTTTGAGACAAGGTCTCACTTACTACATAGACCGGGCTGAGCCAGGCTGGCCTTGAGCTCACAGGGAGACTCCTACTTTTTTTTTTTTAATTTATATGTATATTGTTTTGGCTGCATGCTTTTTTTGGGGGGGATGGAAAACTGGGCATCCTCTTCTAGAGGACTGGAATTCTCTAACTCCAGCTCCAGCTCTGACACCCTTTTTTTTTGGTCTCTTAGGGCACATGCAGATACAAGCACACATGCGTATAAATAAAAAATAAAAGTAAATCTTCAAAAGAGACATACTTTCTCTTGGTAATTAGTAGATCTGGAAATCACATGATAGTTCTTCCTGCTATTTCTGACAGCAAGCAGCTTCCTTATCTAATTAGATGTTATCCTGAATCAAACTAGATTTTGATATTTGAAGTGATAGGATGATAACTTTAAAAAGAAACGGGTGTGCTAAAGAGATGCTTCAGTGGGTGAGAGGGCTTGCTGCGCTCGGGGGTTCCCAGCATTTGCACTGGGAAACTCACAACTGCCTGTAACTCCAGATGTAGGGCATCTAGTGCCCTCTTCTCACTCCCCTGGGTACACAAATACACATGGCATAGACTTAGACACACAAACACACACAAATAAAAATAAAAAAAAAAAAGCTGGGACCTAGTAGAACAAGCTTGTAATCCCAGCACTAGGGAGGTACAGACAGGAGGATCTTGAGTTGAGGCCATCCAGAATCATTTAGGGTCAGTCTGTGCTACATAGTAAGATTACCTCAAAAAATATATCATGCTTGGAAGACAAACATTAACAGATACACAACAGATATTTAGGTTGCTTCCAGTTTACCCTACTAAGAAATGTTTTGTTGAATATCTTTTCATATGTATCTTGCCTGATTTATTGTCTTGCTTTATTTATTCTTTTAAAAAGATTTTTAAAGATTTATTTATTTTATCTTATATGTGTGAATGCTTTATTTGCATACATGCCTAATAACACGGATGTGCCTGATAGCCATGGAGGTCAGCAGAGGGAACCCAACCCAGGAAACCAGAGTTACAGGTAATCATGAACTGCCTGACATGGGGCTAAGAATCGAACTCTGGTCCTCTGGAAGAACTGTCCATGCTTACAACCATTAGGTCTCTCCAGCCCTAAATCCAGCTTTTTGATTTGGGTGCTTAAAATTTGTACACATGTGTTTGTACAGGAAGTGGTCTTACTGGCTGTTCTTTCCCAAGCTCCTCTGCCTTTTGCTGGTATTACAAATTAATGTGCTCATCTATTTTATGAAAAAATTATTACTGGGTATATGAATATATGAATATTGTTGCTTTTTGATTGTGTGTGTGTGTGTGTGTGTGTGTGAGAGAGAGAGAGAGAGACAGAGACAGAGAGACAGAGAGACCATGCCAGACATGAATTCAGTTTTGTAGGAAAACAACAACAAATCTTTCAGAAAAGAAGAGGGAAAAGGGACAAAAGGTGTCCCTGCTCCCAAGCAAGTACTGCTATGTCCTTCCATGCTTTGCCCTACTGAAGACAGAAACTGGCCTGTGGTACTGCGGCGGCGGACTAGATGGAAAGGGCTTGGCAGGCAGTGGACGGCTGAGGTTTGGTATCTTGGCGCCTGACTAATCTCTCCTCACACCTTTCAGAAACGTACTATTTTACCTCCGCTCTTGAGTGGTTCTAGCTCCTCACTTTACTTGCCCCCTGCCTGTCTGAAAAGTCTCAGTGATTGTGATAAGTGAAGAGACTCATTCCCAGAAAGTGGAGTAAAATCACACTGGCAAGAAAATTCTGGGCCTCTTAGAAAAATAAACTGTGTTCTCAAGGAAGGTTGAATTTGAAGCTCAGCCCTGCAGGAGTCCCGGACTCCAAAGGTAGGAAAACATCGCCCCCTAGAGGCCAGCCTGGTCATCTTCGACGGAGAGCGGAATCTCTGGGGTCCAGTAATCAGAGCTTGCCCCTCACCTATCCTGTTGTTTCATCTATCCTGAGGGACCTCAGCGGAAATGGAAACAAGGTTTCCTTATACAGTGCAGGAAAGATACAGAATTGCACGAAATACAATCTGTGTGTTTAGCGATGAAAGTGGTGGTTCCTGCACCAAGAGAACCGGATTTTCACAATTTAAGTAGGAGAGGCATTTTTAGTGGGTAAGACAACAGGGGTTTCATTCTAGCTAGAAAGTACCCGGTTATCTG